AAATAAAATCTTTAAAAAAAATTAATTTAGCATTCCCTACCAGAGTGTGGTACACAAGATAATGTTAGAATTTTAACAGTATGTATGTCAAAGAATATTTGTTTGCCATTAACTATACTGACATAAGTAAAAAAGTAACAATATACAAATTTGAAAATATGGCAAAAAGTATGATGGTATGTAAATAATTTAAGTTTTGGAAGCTAATCAATTCCATTACTAAAGTAATTTAAGTGGTTTCCATATTCATAAAGTTGTCCAAAACAATTGTTTTTGTCACTGGGAGGGGATGATTTTAACTTAAAACCTACTCGTAAGAGACTTTAATTGGCAAATATAATCACACTAACTCACCTAAAAATTTTACCAAGAGGCAGTTACAAACTGTTCTTAAAAATGGGGCGCCATTAGCACTGCACAGGACTGCAAGTTGATTACGAAGGAACCCTGGAAACCAGGCAGCCCAGGTGTATGTTCCGATCATCGTGCTTGACTAAGAAAAAAAACTCCTGTGACTTCATTTCCAAATACCTTCTAGAACAGTATCAGCCCAAATTTAAAAGATTTCTATCAAAATCCACATTACAGATGGAAGGATTATGACAGGTACACATGTGAATGTACTTAATGACAGAACTGTACACTTTGTAAAAAAAAAGGGTTAAAAGGGTTAAATTGTGTATTAGGTGTACTTAACACTTTAAAATACAAAAAAAAAATTACAAAATACGACAGGAAGAAATTTCCACCTTAAGTCACAAGGAAAGGGAAAAAAAATCAGTCTATAAACATTAAATCTCTTGAGTAAAGATTAAACAAAGAGAGACACCTGGGTGGCTCAGTGCGTTAAGCGTCGGCCTCTGGCTCAGGTCATGATCCCAGGGTCCTAGGATCAAGTCCCATATCAGGCTCCCTGCAAGGAGCCTGTTTCTCCCTCTGCCTGCCACTCCCCCTGCTTGTGCTTGCTGTCTCTCTGATAAATAAAATCTAAAAAAAAAAAAAAAAAGATTAAACAGAGAGTTGAACTGTTTTTCTTTAAAAAAAAAAAAATTTATTTATTTATTTATTTGAGAGAGAGAGAGAGAAACAGCGAGAGAGGGAACACAAGCAGGGAGAGTGGGTGGGGGGGGAGAAGCAGGCTTCCTGCCGAGCAGGGAGCCCGATGTGGGGCTTGATCCCAGGACCCTGGGATCATGACCTGAGTCGAAGGCAGACGCTTAATGACTGAGCCACCCAGGTGCCCCCATTTCTCTTCTGATCTTAGTGTTGACTATCCATGGTAGAGACACCAAGACATCCTGGAAAATTGAAAATAGAGAGCACATCTGTATCACTGGGACTTTAAACTTTCTATTCCTTTATTGAAAATAGTACAATAGAGCCTATTAATTGCTAAAGCTCTCACTTTCTAATTCTACACACTCTGTTGAGTGAAGGCATACTGTAGGTATATGTAAACTGTAGATACAGAATATGAAGAGCCTATTAACTCAGAACCAGGTAAAAGTAACTCATTCAGCTTGGCAGTTTTATTTTCTCCTGGCAAATGGCATGGTGCCAGCCTCTTCTTTTCTGAACTGCCTGTGTATCAGGCATTTCAATTAGAGATGGTCTTAGCAGCCACCATACTAATACAATCTCAAGGCAAACGCTAAATTTGACCAAACTTAGAAATAGGGTCTTCATTCTCTCTGGCAAATTCCCTATCAGAGGCCTTCACTGGGCCCAAATCAAAACAATATCCTGAATCAAAACATCTGATCAACTTTTCTAGACCTTTGTCAGTCCCTTCTCTGCTAGGAGTACTAAACGAAAATGAACTGATACAGCACAAACCACAGAAAAACACAATTTAAAAGGGAAAAATCTAATTTAGATCCAAATTATAGATTTCTTAAGGTACAGGCATACCTCGTTTTATTGTGCTTCACTTTACTACGCTTCGCAGATACTGTTTTTTTTTTTTTTTTTAAACAAATTGAAGGTTCAAGACTTCAGTGGAGGAAGTAACTGCAGATGCGGTAGAAATAACAAGAGAACTAGAAGTGGAGCCCGAAGATGGGACTGAATTGCTGCCATCTCATGATAAAACATTAACAGATGAGGAGTTGCTTCTTATGGATGAGCAAAGAAAGTATTTCTTGAGATGGAATCTATTCCTGATGAAGATGCTGTGAAGATTGTTGAAACAACAAGATTTAGGATATTACATCAACTTAGTTGATAAAAAGCAACGGCAGAATTTGAGAGGACTGACACCATTTTGAAAGAAGTTCCTCTGTGGGTAAATGCCATCTAACAACATTGCATGCCAAAGAAGAAATTGTTCATGAAAAGCAGAGTCAATTGATGCAGCAAACTTCACCACTGTCTTATTTTAAGAAACTGCCACAGCCACCCCAACCTTCAGCAACCACCACCCTGATCCGTCAGCAGCCATCAACATCGAGGCAAGACTCTGCATACCAGGAAAAGATTTATGACCCACTGAGAGCTCAGATGGTTAGATATTTTAGCAGTAAAGTTTTTTTAATTAAGGTATATACATTTTTTTTTTAGACAATGCTACTGCACATAGACTGCAATATAAATAACTTTTATATGCACTGGGAAACCAAAAAATTCATGACTCACTTTATTGGGATATTCACTTTATTGTGGTGGTCTGGAACCAAACCCACAGTATCTCTGAGGTATGCCTGTATTTCCAATTACCAATTCAATTATTCTATGTAAAGGAATCCTCTATGTATATAAAGGAATGCAAATGTGTTCTTTCCTTCAACATAACCAGTATTAAGTACAACCTGCTCAAAATAGCAGTGCAAGTCAGTATTGTGTAAATTACAAACTCAGACCCACTAACAAGATACACATTTTAGTAGCACTTTCATATTGCCTGAAGTCTGTCTTCGTATCTATATTCTTGTCTACTTAGTACTAATTTAAAGTTACTGTTTATAGAATTTCCCATCAAAACCACATAGGATACATCAAATCATGCAAATGGGCCAGACTAATGAATTTTACTTTCCCCATCTCACTGATCTTTTTTACATCTAGTTCCACATCTATAAATGGGTCGAAAAGATATCCCTTTCAAATGAACAGTCAGCATTCTGTTCAATACATTCTGGGAAACTAAGAAAAATACTCTGATGCTCTAAATTTCTGAGCAATTCTAGAAATAAAGACCTCTTTGGCTGTTACAGCTTACTTTCACTTGGTTTCTCCCCTTGCTAATCCTTCGTTTTACCCTTTTTTTTTTGATCACTGGAGATTTGGCCTAAGCCTAGTTTTGTCTCTGCAAAAGGAAAAAAAACGCATTTGGTTATCTCCATACAAAGAGTAAATGCCTCCTCTGACCACTTTAAATAGCTGCAACTATCCAATTCAACTCTATCTCCTCCATCTGCAGTAAATACTGGATAAATTTACCTGCTTAAGAAATTTGTTTGGCATAATGCAGAGAAGCTGAATCACTATATTGTACACCTGAACTAATGTAACATTGTGTCTTTACTCAAAATTTAAAAATTTCCATCTGAAAAATACACAAATATGCAGCTACTGGATTTAGTGTTTAGTATGTATTTTAAGATTAAGGAATTCTTTAAAATTTTTCCTTACTGAAACATCAGATGAAATATGCCAGTTTTTAAAATGGAGGGATCTTTGGCATAGAGATCATGCACATTTGTGATTATGCTTCAACCTTTCCCTCAGTGGTATGGACTACATAAAATTTAATGTTATTTTTGTACTCATCATGACTTTATTCCCGCCCCCCCCCCCAAAACCAGGGCTTCTGAAACAAATCAAATTTGGTTTATGCCAACAGAGTGCGTTTACCAACACACTTGACTTATTAGCAATATCCACTGTCAAACCCACTATGTTAATATAAAACTCACCTGGATCATTACATGAAGCCTTGGAATTAAATTAAGTGACTTTTTGCTCTGCCTCGCTTAAATCTTTCTGAACCTTAGATTTTAAACTTTCAAAAATATCTGAACAAGTTCATTAATCTAAAACAGTACTCAAAAATTTAAGATACTTCCTTAAGACCCCTCAGTCACACCGTGAACATCTTTCAACCTGTTACAATCAAAGAATTTTAAAAGTAGTATAGTTGTTTCTGTTTGCAGGAAAGAATATGTTCTACTCAAGTGAAACTTTTTTTTGTGTGTTTATTATAATCAAAAAGCATTGACTGAGTTCCCCAGATGAAATTCTACTTGCTTTTGCAGAAATCAGTACATAAATCATAAAAGTCCGTAACTTTAAAACTGAGATTATGGATTTTAATCTCCATTAATCTTATCATTAATTCCATAGGTAACTAAGACATTTCAAATTGGATTACTTAGAATTACACAGAAAGTTGCTCTCTTTAAAATTTTCAAGTTTCCCAAAGTGTCAAATTGATACTCTATCAAATTCAAAAGGTAGTTGACACAAAAAAATATGAAAGCAACTTGAAAAATCTTGGGATAAACTTGCCTCCACGGGCAATCAGATCTATTTTTCACTAACAATAAAAAGCTAAAAATGGAAAGTCAGTCAAATCTGAGGGACAGATGGACCATGTAGAAAAACAGTGATCTGTTACTAGCCCCAAAAGCAAGGATACCTGAGGCAGACAAGACTAGAGAGAGACTGGTTGTAACTACCCAAATATAAAAAAAGAGCCATGTGATGAAGTATTAAGGCTGAACATGAGGAAAATTAAACCCACACATATATGAGAAATTGGCGGGAGGAGGGTCTCAAATCTAGAAGCATATCAGACCTCTACACTATAAAACCTCATTTTCAGAATACATGAATTAATCACTTACTTGAATTTTACCTATGGTCAGGTAATATATTCTCTGATAGGACAAATAGGAAAATAAAGGTTTGATATTTTTCATCTCCTCTATACACTATTACAAAGAATAACTTTCTACCATCTTGATATTTTTCAAAGCTTTTTGAGAAACACACACAAATAATTTGGATTTAGTCGATTTTATTTACAGCTTTTTTTTTTTTTTTACATTTCAGAGCATTACACAATTACATTTTCTCATTTTCTGACCTGCAAACAGATACCTTAAACGGAAATATTTCTTAAAAATTATCAAATTAGGTACATCCAAAATGCAACAATTACACATGACAATTAATTCACAAAGTGTAATTTACCAGGACGTATCCTAAGAATTTAGGAACAGCCAGTCAGGAGAAATCTGACCAAATTTAGCAATCAACTATTTACATATCCAAAGACAAACCTACCTAAACTCCCAAACCAGAATTTTGAAAGTTTTTGTTAAATCCCCATTAAACAAGAGTGACGATTCAAACCTTGTCAGCCTTAAAAGTCTTAACCCCAAATACTGGGCTATTTCCCCAGTCTGCAACTGAATAGCAAGCATCTCAGTTTGTCAAACACCTAAGTATCGAACTCTTGCGCCATTGTGCACATAGAAGGGCTAAGTATTCATTAATTAAAAAACAAGTAGTCATTAAATATCCACACTATTCCCCATCCCCACCCCCCACCCAGCTCACCCAGCCCTTACTGCAATCCCAAATATGCAACCTATGTCACATAGTGACAAGCTATGTTATATATATGTATGTATGCATATACACACATATACGTACATGTGCATATATATATAAATATACACACATACACACAGTACTAGGTACAAATGGCAATTAACAGTCCCTGCAAAAATTCATTTTCAGTTCAGGCTATGGCTCCTATGCCTTGGGATGGTTTGACTTCAAAACTGAAAAATACTGCTAAAATCTCACTTCCTTAAGACAAAATTTGATTGCTTGTTCAGTTTAAGCTTCTCAGTCTAAAAATGGCTATAAGGTAAGTATAAAAAAGCAGCCAACTGAGTACAATTCCTCTCTCCGATTTTGCCAAGCTATTTCGTAGAAGTTACTCCTAACTAGACTAGGAAATCTGCGGTGCCTTCCAATGGTTCTTGCCTACCTTACTGTCCATGTTCACGTTTCAAACTGTGTCAACAGAGCCCGCACTTCAGGGGTCAGCTGCTTGGCAGCCTTAGCCGCCTCTGTGATGGCCTTGCGGTACAGGCCCTTTCTCTTCTTATTAAAGCGTGACTGGAAGTTTTCTAAAAAGGGGGAGAGTTGCGAAAGAGCAAGAAAAGAGGTTGTTGGAGACCCAAACCACGAAATACGGGCCTCCTGTCGGACTAAAAGGCCGTTATCTTTCCGGCTCACAGTTATAGTAAGAATACGGGCTGGCCACCAAGGGAAGCCATAGATCTTGGCCCAAACAATGTCCCCTACACATATGGTCCTGCCATCTGGTGTGACGCATTTAGAGACGTTTTTGGAAAAGACTTTCATTTTCAAGGAATTACTGAGCTTTTTCTCTTCCTTTGAAGAGGAGGAAGTGGAGGAGGTGGAAGGTGCATGCATACTGCCTGGAGGAAAATCAAAGCTTTCGGAAGAACTACACTCTGAGTTGGAGGATTTCAAATCATCTGTGCTATCAATGCTACACACTGAAGCACTGGAAGAGTCAGATTTCTTTTGATTTAGGGTCATGTAAACAGAGATATTGCTTTTGCTGCCCTTTTTGCCCAGTGTCTGTGGTTCATCCTGCTCACCAGGCACAAGCACTTCACTGGTGTCCTGAACCTCACTGCTGGCCTCTTCAGGGCCTTTTGAGGGACTCTGATTTTCTGAAGGGGCCTCACCTGCTGAGCGGGTAGAGGTGCAGCGAGACTGGGGCTTGGGTGCCATCTTGCCACTCCGCATTTTCTCAAGTCCTGTCTTCAAAGAAGAGTCATTTTCTTCATTCCTGTACCTTTGTGGTTTTAAACGAACCCGGGGTGGAAGGGAACCTGAGCTAGGACTCTGATAGCGACGTGTGAAATGGACCTTTGAATGTGCATTTTTGGATGTAGAGGTTTCACTTTGCTTCTTTTGTGCCTTTTCTTTGGCAATTTTCAACACTTCCCGAGCTTTTGCATGATCCATGTTCTTACTCTGGAGCACTTTCTTAGTACTTAACTGAGCTTTTGATGTATTTGCCTGAGCAGAAACTTTGACTACTCTGCCTCTGCTGTGAGCAATACTGGAAACCTTCACCACAGCATTTCTTTTCTGGCTTTCGTTTTGGTTTTTCCCATCCACTTTATGGTCAGTTTTCAGTTTTTTGTTCACAGTAGTTACACTTTCGTTTTTCCGTTTTTTATCTTCATATTTAGAAGAGTCACTTGCACTACTACCTTTTCTAATTTCCTTTTTCTCCGCAACAACACTGTTTTTACATTTGTCACACAGGACTTGCCTGGGTCGCAGTTTAATAGCATTCATTATTGAAGTAGGTTCTTCCCTGTACATTTTTCGTTTGGGTCGTTTAATTTTCCGAGGTGGTGGCTGAGGTATTGACTGGTTATAGGTGTCCCTGATAAACAAAGGGGGAGGGTAAGGTGCTCCTTCATGGAAGAGAGGCGGTGGTTTGGAAGTCCACAGGCTTTCAGCCAAGCCCGGCTCGGGAGGTGAGATGGGAGAAGGGTCATCGGGAACAGCACCATTCACTTCACGCTTGACTTCTGTCCCTTCTCGGAATGTATTACTTTGGAGCTGCATGGCTTCAGGTTTCTCCTTATATTCCCTTTTGGGAAACACCGTCACAGGGATCCCATGGGGCCCAAACCTTGGAAAGAAATCAAAGAAAAAAGACATTAACCCAATGTCTATGATTCAGTTTCTTACACTGAAACACCACCTAGTGTTTGTACGTATGACCTTTCCTGAACTCTATTTCATATTAAAAAATAAAAACAACCTACTAACCTCCCCACCAAAATCCCAAAGCCCTTCATTTTGTATTGGTCCTACATTTTAGGTATGAACAGATTATACATTTAGGTATAAACTCAAATGATTGTTCTAAGCAGCATCAGAATAGCTGACATTCTTTTTTTTAAGGCTGACATTATTTAAAACAGACCTTTCAGTCTTAGATCAGAAAGGTGTTCTATCAGATAGCTTAACATTATACGTCATTTGAGGTTACATTCGCTGGACTATGGACAAGTCCAGTAAATGCAACTATAGATACACAACATACACATCTCCCTCTGGTTATAAGAGCTTTCAAAAGCTTCACAAAAACAAATTCAGCCTTAACTACCCAAAAACACTGAATCAGTAAAATTCCACGTCAACTTCACTTAATCACTAAAGAGTCAAAGACCAGCTGATCCTTTACTCTTGCACCCTAACTCTTGAAGCCATTCATCTACCTCCTGCCCCCAAAACCCAAAAAATGTGAGTAATTCAGTTGCCCAAATTACCACACAAAGCAGATAGGTACAGAGCTGTGGCTAACTTTTTAAAAAATACATCACACATTAAGAAATATTATGTATGTATATGTACATGCATATATAAATATATAAATACACACACTTAAGCCAAAGTTTCACTAAATGTTTAACCTTATATTATGTGATACATAATGATATTTCCCCCTACTCTGGTCTATTTCATTTGTTTTAATGCTGGTCAGACTCATTACATGGATTTTAAAACTGGTCCAGACCCAGTTTGAAAAGCACTGGTAGAGAACACAAATCTTTACAATTCTCAGTTTCTAATAAAACAAGGGTCAACATAACCCTGTTTTTCATGTAGACTTAGAAATCACTGTGATTTAATCCTCCTAGGCTAAACATCTTAAAGCTAAACCTGCTACACTCCGACTCCTTCACATAAAAATAAAATCACACTACCAAATAATTTCATCATGTGCATGTTAACATGTTAATTGTAAGTACTATTTGATGCTGTCTGAACAGCAGTGAACACAATTCTAAAGTCAGTCCTTTCAGGCAGCAAGCATCCGCTTCAGATAGTCAGAACTCCTAAGATGCAAATGTCTTGCATGTCTGTTTTTCTAGAGAATGAGTCTTCGTTCTCATTCTCTAACATGTCCTTAGGTCCCCAATATCTTTGTTGTGAAGAAATCTTGACATCAATTTCTTAGGGCTATAAACACACCTAAACTCATTCGGGGATGTAGTTAAGTGCCAACACCACCAGTTCTGTTTCTGATACCTAAATTATTTTCTCCCTGAAGTCTTCTGTTAGTGTGGTCACCACAAACCAACAGCTTGTAAAACCACAAAGGGAGGAAAGCTTTTACCCAGGGTACGACAGACTTGAATCTGGGCTAGTCCACAAAGATACCCTCTTCTCCACATCAGATTTGCAAAGTGGCTTTCTACTCTAGCACAGCATCTGGTACTTAAATGTTTGCGTCCTATTGACTTGGCAAGGCAATTTGAGCATTTAGCCTTTTCTTATATGAACGAGAGGTGATTTTTGGATTTTCACATACAGCTACATAAAACAATGTAACTTATCTGAGGTGAGACCACTACTGATACATAGCAATCAAATTTCTAACTCTTAAGAAGCTATCCTTTGCCCCACTGCACTTTCACATGGTGTTTTCACAGCTGAATAAAAAATGCCCATCCTCTTATTAGGCATAACTAAAACTATAATCATCCTAATGTCTGAGGTAAAGTTTCACAGATGTTCTTACCAACTTTCTATCCATGGTGTTACTAAACATCTCTAGATGCAGTTTTTGTTATGTGTAAAATAGGCTAACACTATTTCCTACGTTAAAGGATTCAGGTAAGGATTAACAGGAAAATGTCAGCCATTTTCTTGACTAAACTTTACTTCATTTAATTAATCTGATTTTTTAGTAATTTTTTTAAGATTTTATTTATTTGTGAGAGAGCAAGCACCCGCACGCACAAGTAGGCAGAGAGAGGGAGAGAAAGCAGGCTCCCCGCTGAGCAGAGGTGGGGGGGTAGAGTGGGCAGGGGGGAGCCTCTAGATACCAGGACCCTGGATCATGGACCTGAGCTGAAGGCAGACCCTTAACCAACTGAGCCACCCATGCGCCCCCTTTGATCTTATTTTCAACTAATTTACTAGACTTTAGGATCATTTCTGTATCTTAATTTATACTCTCAAAGTGAAGATGATCTAGCCAATTATTTTAGAACTTTATACCAAATAAGCTGTGGAATCTATTATGTTTTCCCTCAGGGAGTTTAATAAAAACTTTAATTTCACTTCTGGGGGGTTTTATCCTTGCCTTTCCCTCTAAAGCATATAAAATACAAACATTAAATGTTTTTAAGTAACATAGGAAGGCACTTCATTGTGTAGTAATAAGGCACCAAAGCGGGGGAAAAAAAGAAGCCAAGCTGGTAATTGTGGGTGGTACATAATTTGGCAAAAGTAGAAAAATATTTTTTTTAAAGATTTTATTTATTTATTTGACAGAGAGAGAGACACAGCAAGAGCAGGAACGCAAGCAGGGGGAGTGGGAGAGGGAGAAGCAGGCTTCCCGCTGAGCAGGGAGCCCAATGCGGGGCTCGATCCCAGGACTCTGGGATCATGACCTGAGCCGAAGGCAGACACTTAACGACTGAGCCACCCAGGCACCCCAAAAGTAGAAAAATATTTTTAAGTAATAATAAAACTTCCTCAAAGGATCACGAAGATTAAATCACCTTAGGAAGAAAAGAGATATATCAATGTACTACTCCATTTCAGTAATCCTGCTGTCTCCCTAACATGGACAATACTTAGTATTATGACGGTGTTTTCAAACTAATGGTGAAGACGTTGGTTGTGAAATCAATTTCCAGGATCACAACTATGATTTAGATATTTAAAAACAGAGTCTAAATATATGTAACTGCAATGAAACGGTTTCATATGTGTATGTATATACACATCCACATGTAAAATACATTTGTAACTATGCTCAAAATTTTGAAAACCATCAATTTATGAAACTGTAACCTTGGTAAGAATATAAAGTAGCAACAAAACTACATCCTCTTCGGGCACCTGGCTGATTCAGTCAGTAGAGCATGTGACTCGATCTCAAGAGTGGTATTGAGTTCAAGCCCCACACTGGGCATGGAGCCTATTTAAAAAAAACAATGTTCTCTTAAAAATCCCAAAATCTAATTTCTCAAGTGTGTTCTCTAGAAATCTGCAACACTCTGTGGTGTTTGAAAATGAAGATTCCTAAGCCCTACCCCAAGGCTGAATCATAAGACCCTCCCCCCTGGGTGGGGGGGAACACAGGACTTTAATTTTTAGCAAACACTCTTGCTTTAGCTTTTTCTAAGGTGAAGGTATTTATGTCTCATGTGAATGCTCACCTCAGCAGAGGAGGATTTGAATAGTTCGAGAAGTGAAAGGCTGACTAGTATCCTTGCTTGAGCTTTTTCGAGAAGAACTTTTCACAAATTCTTTAAGACTTGAGCAATAAGATGCAAAGCATCTGTCCTCTTTTCTCCACCCCTTCTTCATGCAACAAGAAAGTTATTTATTGGGGCACCGGGGTGGCTCAGTTGCTAAGCGTCTGCCTTCGGATCAAGCCCCGCATTGGGCTCCCTGCTCAGCGGGGAGCCTGCTTC